TGTGTGTGTGTGTGTGTGTGTGTGTGTGTGTGTGTGTGTGTGTGTGTTTGTTTGTTTACCTGATTGTGTCATGTGTGTGCATGTGGACACATACACCTATTCATACCTGTGACAGGGATGACATGTCAGGCACGGAGTTCCTACCTGGACACAGAGGTGCTTTGGGGCTACCGCTTCACACCGGTTCTCTCCCTGGAGAAGGGCTTCTACGAGGTCGACTACAACAACTTCCATGAGATCTACGAGACCAACACCCCCACCTGCAGCGCCAAGGAGCTAGCTGCTAAGCTTCGGGATGGGCCACTATTGCCTCAGCTTTCGCTCCTTAGCCCTGACCCCAAAACGCATAGTACTTTTGACGCCCTAAACCGCCTGTCCGAACGGGACCCACTCAGCCCAGATGAGGACAAGGAGGAGAGAGATTCAGGGGGTGACAGAGGAGAGACCAATGGCTCAGCTGCTGCTTTGGAGGATCCGCCCGTGGCTGACGGACTGCCTGACTGATGTGATTGGCGGCCACATCAGCTAAAACCCCAGGAGAGACTGGACATGAGGACAGGACAATATAATGCTTCATTTAGTCAACGGCCAGCTTGTTCCATTGCAATGCTCGGAGATACCAGAACTCCGTCTCCAGCCCCCGACTCATGCAATACTCCTCTAATAGAGTCTCAATCTATAGTATAGATTGGTTTTGTAGACACGTAAGTACGCATACACTGACACACGTACAGTATCTATAGCTACACTAAAAGGTTGGTGGTCGGATTGTCTTTTTATAATCGTAACAACCACTTACTGCTGTAACAGCTGTAAGTTGTATAACGTAAACTTGAGCTGAAACTGGTAGCCATGACAAATTACCATGGGCGTATTATGGATACCCCAGTATTCTCATTTAAGAGTGTGTTGATTCAGCTTCATTTGAACAAAATCACTTTCATAACACAGCTAACGTGTCTGACAGCAGCTTTTGAGTGATAATTCAGTGATTAAATCAACCTTGTTATTGACGTTTTTTGTTTTATTTTCTTTATGTGGGAGATTAATATTTCCTTTTTCTGGCAGTGTTGTTATTATTCTTTGTCAGAAACTCAATTCACCAAGGAGGAAATGCATAAAGCTTCTAGTTCGCAAAGGCGAGAAAAAATAATGGAAATGTGTTCTAAGAAAGGCAATGTGTATCAGCAACTACTATCCAAATTTATTTGTTCACACTTTCTTCATGGTTGTACTGTCGTAAATACCCTCATTGTGTGTCTCCCCAACATACTGGGAGCCTTGACCCAAAAGAAGCCAGCTAGTACCTCATTTCAGTAATTTTCAGGGATTTGAAATGAACAATAAGAACAAGGCAATTGCTGGTAAAAAGCTGTATATGCCACTGACTGATTATTTTGAAAACTTTTTGACTGATTAAAGATTTAATTCCCCTTCCCGCTGCATCAACTAAAACATTAATTACAAGCCCTTTTCTAGGGACAGAAAGCACAATTTCCCACGAGGTGACACACTGACCTGACCCTGGCTGATGCATGTCAGTCCTACTTAAAAGTGAGATTCAAATATTTATATATAACGATTTATTTGAAATGTTCTTTATTTCTATACAGTACGCACATGAATATTTCAAATACTCCACAAGCAAAATGAAATGTCCATTGTATCCTATGTTTGTTTTCTTTTTGTTTTAAATATTGAAAAGATATCCAACCACGATGTTTTTCAGCAACATGAAAGTTAAGTCTACTGAAGATAGAAGCAGGTTTTCTGTCAAATCCAACAAGTTTAGTCGATGGCAAGCTCATCACCCACAATATTTGCCTATTTGCCTTCCTCGTAGTTATTTCCTCTGAACATCGTCTGTAGTGTTCACCTTATTTTAATTCTTCTTTTTCCACTTGGTTCAGTTTGCTCTTTGGCCCTGTTCCACAAACCACCACTGGGTCTTTTGCTTTGTGGCCATTGTGACTACTGTTTTACAGTAGTTTTTAACCTTTCTTTGAAAGGACACGTGTCAGAGCTTGCATGCATGAATCAACCCCTATGCGTCCCATTGCTGATTAAGTTTCATACAGTAAGAAACACAGGGTATTTTCTAGGCATGCAAATTATGAGATTTCTACAATATATTATCAGATAATGTATTAATATTCAATTATCATTTGTCGAAAAGATAAATTCCTGATACTTTAAAATCTCCTCCTCCCTAATTCTATGTTACTCTGTTTATTTTTATTTTTTTTACAGATGCTTGTCCAATCAATGTATTTGTTTTCAATGTGACATTTCAGCATCTTACTATGTATTCCATTTAAACGATACGTTTGCCATTAGCGAGAGATCATCTTTCGTTGCTGGAATGTCATCTGTTGTCTGTGTGTTCTCATGGGAATAAACATAATATGGTCGAAAGAACAACATGTTCCTGTTAGATAATGTGTGCATGCATGAGCGGTTGCATGAGAGTGTGTGAGTGTGTAATTATTTCGCACATAACTTTGCAACTGAGGATTGGAGAGTTTCATTTACCACGTGTGACGCTGCACTGTATCAGCTGTACTGTGACAAAAAGACAGATTTATGGCCATGGCTCTGGGTAAAACAACTGTGTCTGACGCAAAAGCTGAAAACTGGATTAGACGCATATCAAATCATAAAAAGGAGACTTAAGCGACCTTTAATTATCGGTACAAAACAATCTTGTCTTGTACTGAAGCTCGAGGCATATTCTGCTTCATGCATGCTAGAGAACAAATGTAATGGACAGCATCAGGAACTTTGTTGCACCCCTTTCAGTGTCTAAATTTGAATTCATTAATTAAAATGATACAGCAGCGAAGTGTGGATATGTCTCAGTGGCAACCTCAACCCACTCTGTGTTGTAAATTGTTGTCTAGGCCTATAAAGACCATATAACCAACAGTTTCTCATGTATTGGATAATTGCGGCTGCTGGAGTCCTGAGGACCTTAACAGCATCCCTGAGTCAGCTTTGTGTGTTTGAAGACTGCAATTACACACACACACACGCACACACACACGGGAAGACACAATCACAGAAAACAGCCGGCAGACTGATTAAGAAGGTCCACACAGCACAGCAAATAACTAGTGACAGAGAAAACTCGGCAGAAGTCACCGGGGTAATCATATTTATTCAGCGTCTACAGAGTACAACCAGTCATAAAATGAAACATGATGTTACCTTTGGTGTCCAGTGTGTCATAGAAATTCACTGAATCACAGCAATGCGCTGTCAAGGCTATTCTTGTCCGAGCTATTACATTTGGTGGCTGGATCGTCAGCAAGCTGACAGTCCCTGATTCAAATCTGAATAATGTACGATGATGAATATAATGCGCCATTGAATGGCGCATTGAAATAGGTACCCAAAGCAGGTGCATGTGGGTGAGCACAGGTGTGTGTGTGTTGGGGGGGGACATAGTCAGCAAAACTAAAAGCGCACATGAACACACAATAACAGCCACAAACAAACAACGAAAAGCAAAATGATCCATGTATGCTTTTGCCAAGTTTGACATGCCCTTTTCACAATAAAGAATTTATGAAAGGAGAAGAACAAAGAAAGATAAAATTGCTAAAGCTGATGAATGGCTCCACGCCAACAGAGTAACTAGCTATTATCCTTTCTCTTTCCATATAGCTAATACTCTTCCCTTCTCCTTTAAATAATGCATGCTTGAGACAAAGAAAGGAAGCACATAGGCCATTAACAACTGTGTAGTCAGAATAAAACATCCTGAACAATTATAGTCACAGTGAAAAAAAAAAAAGAAAGTGGGAGGAATTTTACTCTGGTGCAACAAACTAGTGTAAGCTCTTTCCATTTTCTTGCTCCTTGGACTCCCCCTTATTCTGCTTCAACAACTCCCACACAGAGAGAACAGAAACACAGACACATGCAACAGGGCATGGGTTATTTTACAGTATTTTCCACATTTTTCCATGGATAGCCTGGTGATTTGTTTTTCCCACCATCCAGAGTAACATCCAGAGATGAAAAATCAAGCTTCCAAACCCCATTGTCCCTACTTAAGCAACTGTGACTCCCTGCTGCAATTATATCTTATTAAGAATTCAAATATCCTCTTACATACTGTAATGGTTCCCCTGTCTTTATTCCCTTACAGCTCCCACTGGTAACAGAAGGCTTTATTTGTGTGCTTTATGTCATTTGTTTCTTTTTTCTTTTTCAAGCTTGTAATTGAACTCTCCCTGTGTAAGGTGCATAGGCTGAAACCTCTTTTGCACATTCGTCTTCACGTGCAGCTCTCAGTTGCACCCCATAAGACCTGTTGGGTTTCCTGGGAATCTTCCTCTGCACTGTTAAGAGGCACAAAAGCTGTAAGCCTCCAGGACCCAGCAGTGAACATGTTACGAAACCTTATGTAATACAGCTTCACACAGAGCAAGTGGACCAATCACAAGAAGGTGACGTAGTTCAGTCTGCTGTTTGTTCATGGTGAAAATTTGTTTGGAGCATGTCAGTAAAACAATGTGACGCAGTTTAATTTAGGGGACATACATTTTTAGAAATGTCTGAAATTCTGGTTAAACAATACCCCATAAAGGACCTACTCATCCAGCCGAAGCATGGATGAGTAGCACCATTAGCACTGCCAGGCAAGTCTGTTTGGTTCTGTATATCCAGTGTTTTGAATGGAGCGAGCAGACAGTTGTACAGACACTGAGAGAGAGACCATTGCCTTTTCCCAGCCAGGAGACAGAGGTCTGCCCTTTGATGTGTTTGGACGATGGCAGCCTTTGATGAGGATTTCTATGGCACCAGAGTGGCTGTGGCTTCAAATTAAGCTGGCTGAGCTTCTCCTGCTGAGAAGCACAGGCAGGCAACACTGAGAGCACGAGAATATTGTCACAAGGCCTTGCTCTGTAAATACATTTTGCACACTTTTGCTTTCCTGTTTTTCCAGTCATCAATGTCTCCAGTCATTTCAGATACCTGCCATTCCCCACACACCCTGTAGCTGCCCTCAGTGTGTTCCCACCATTACCAGCACACCTGTTCCCCATTCTCTCATTAGCTCCCCTGCATATATCAACCTTCTTTCCCCAGTCATTTGCCAGATAGTTGAATGTATGCAATCCAATGTTTCAGCCTTTGTTCCTGACCAATTCTACTCACCTGCCTCTTGCCTGCTTTATTTATTCTTGCTGACTGATTACATGTTGCCAAACTCTGCCTTGATCTTCAAGTAAAAGATTGATGCTTCAAACTGCCTCTGAGTCCTAATTTTGAGTCCACATCACTGTGTGCAGAACCATTACAACGGACGAGAACTCTATATTCAGTCCCCACGTTAAAAGATTAGTTTAACATTTTGCAAAATATTCTTGTTTGCTTTAAGGGACAGCTAGCTGTGTCATGCTAAGCTAATTTAGCCAGCTGCTGGCCTTAGGCTTATGCAGATATGAGACATAAATGCAACAATTTGAGTTTCCAAAATCAAGAACTCTTGATTTGTGGTAAAAAGCTCACTCAAGACTGAATTATAAGGAAAAAAATGTGTTAATAGCTAATGCTCTGTGAAACATCGCAGGTCTTGTTTAAAACTGTGCAAGCCAAAAGAGCAAACATGGTTTGATTAATTAACACTATAGTTTTTGCATCATCGTGAGCCATAACTTCTACATTAATACTGCAGTGAAACATTAACTGAATTTAGAGCTTCTGCATGTTCATAGCCGACTGTACTGGAGTAGAGAGAGGAGTGTGTAATCCACAGCCACTTCAGAAGCTTACTGACTCATCATCATGGCACAGCACAGAGCAATGCAGCAAACATTGGATGTTGTGATACTTGGGATTATGGGAAAAAAATGAGAGATGATGGAAGTCTGTTTGCTTTTTAGTCGTTTCTTTGCTTTTTATTTGGTTTATTAGACAAACAACGGGAGTTTTGATCGATTTCAAGGAGGAAGAGAGGCAGTAAGAGTTGGAAGGTTGAAAGAAAAACATCCAGTAGGTAATTGGGGAGAAGACATTTTCCCATTCTATAGCCTAACCAGATTGAGTGGTATGGAGTATGGATTCAAACAAATGACCCTTTGTTACCAACAGGTTTTTTTGGCACAAGAAATGTACCATTTGAGACCATTTTGAGAATATTTTACAGCCATTTGAAACATGTTCTCCGTCTCTTATCTAAATATTGCACTGGTGAGTGTGGGGAAAAATAGACTGGAACTGAAGTGTGCTTTTGAACTCGTTGAGGATGTAAGCCTTCTTGAGAACCTTTTGAGTGTGTAGGAGAAAGCGAGTGAAGTCTGGGAGATGTGAGAGATCCCACATCAATGATAGAGACAAATCAATAGTTCCACACAATGGCTCCAAATGAAGGCATCAGTTAGCTTTGTCTGGGAGCTCTGTTACCAAGAAGCACTTTGTTCTCAAAGGATGTTTAAGCCTCTGCAAGACCTGCTTCGTGTGCTGACAGTTGGGTTTTATTGCAATATTTAAACTGTCTGCCATTCAGGAAAGATGCAACTTTTTCTGTGTGTTGATTGCAATGCAAAAAGAAAGAGCAGACAATAAGGATAGATAAATGCCTTTCGACGGGTTAAGGGTTTATTGATTTAGTAACACCACAAGCCTTCTGAATCAATACCCAAGACAATGAAGCAGCTCTCCTTAATCTGTGAAAATCATACAAATTTAATTATAGAGGGTTGTTTATGTTTTCATTACTCCCTTCGGTGGGGGTATAGTATATTGTCGTAGTTGCAAAAGCAAGCTGTGGGTTTATTGACAGAAATCATCCAATCACATGGGATACAGTGGTTTCATATGCATTTAATAGAGAAGACTAGTTGTGTAAAGTAACCCAACACTGACAATCAAATTAAATTACTTATTTCGCTGCACAGTTTATCAGTTTGTCTGTAAAGAGCAACTGTGGGAAACCAAACTATCCAATGCAGAGATGAGTGTGTACTTTCTATATTTTCATTTCTCTCTCTCTCTCTCTCTCTCTCTCTTGCTTATTGAGTTGGTAACCTTCGTGACTCTTCTCCCTCCTACGCACTAAAATGATACTAGAACAGGAAAGAGTGCTGACGGTTTCTCACCTACCTGTGGATGACTACCGCAGCACACACACAAGCACGGATGCTACTTTAAAACATTGATCATTGAAGTCAATAGTATCCATGTGAAATGTATCTGCCTTTCAGAGAATTTGAACATACCCAAAGTATCACAAGAGTATCTGCCACAGGGTCTAAAACAACGGATCAAAAGAAAGCTACCTTAAATATCTTGCTTTGTCATACAGATGACGTTACTGCTAAAAGTGTTCCCCTGTGCCTCTGACGATGGATGGCAACAACATTTTCATTTTCTCCGCAAGCTCTATATCACCTGATTGACGCTTTTTCCTAAAGTCTGTATTACAAAATATATACTGTACATTTATATATATATACTGTATGTATATATATATATATATATATATATAGAGAGAGAGAGAGAGAGAGAGAGAGAGAGAGAGAGAGAGAGAGAGA